GTTGACCCTTTGGTCTCAGGCTGCTGGCATTTAAATAGTGCCTTTATATCGTGTGCCACCTGCTGTTTGGCTTAGAGGTGGCCTCAGTCTAGGCCTGGTTTGGGGTTTAAGGGTGTCTCGGGTGATGGTCTCAGCAGTTCCTCTGCCCCTACTGGTCCAGTCTGTCTGGCCTTACTATTTTTTAAGATGAGATTCTGAGCTCTGCTCCATCTTTTTCTCCCATTCTCTCTGGGACCACCGATTGGGGCCCTGTTCAGAATGGTCGGTGGTGGTCGCTGGGCACCATCTAGTTCTTCTGGTCTCAGGGCGGAGAAGGTTGTGGCTCCTGTGGACTTGTTTCCCTGAGCTTTTGGGCCTTCTCTCAGTTTGGCTCCTGATGAGTCGGGACCCAAGTTGTGCCTGCATCACGTGTTGATGGACGTCTTGGTTGTGTCCACCTTTTGGCCCTTATGAGAAGTGTTGCCAGGGATGGCTGTACGGGCTGTCTGCGTCCCTGCCAGCCCGTTTTGTGGCTCTATCCACAGGATGAGATTGTGGGTCCTGTGGTATTTCCATGCCCAGCTTTCTGAGGACCCACCAAACTTGGTCACAGCGCTGTGCCACTTGACGTTTCTACCAGCAGTGGACGAGGGCCCTCTTTGTCCCCAACCTCACCAACGCCTGCTGTTTTGATCATTCTTAAGCTCATGAGGGCAGGGAGTATCTCATGGTGGTTTTGATTTGCATCTCCCTGATGGCTCATGGAAGAGCCCTGGTGGCACAGTGGTTAAGCACTCGGCTACTAACTGAAAGGTTGGCCGTTGAAATGCACCAGCTACTCAGCAGCACAAAGATGAGGCAGTCAGCTTCTGTAAAGACTGACAGCCTTGGAAACCCGTGGGGCAGTTCCACTCTGTCCTCTAGGGGTGCTGTGAATCAGGATCAACTCCAGGGCGGTAGGTTTGGGGTTTGGTTTGGGCTTTGCTTCCATGAAGATTGTTGTTGTTGTCATGTGCTGTACAGTTGGACCCAACTTGTAGCAACCTCTCCTTGGGTTTCCGGGGCGGTATCACTACGGAAGTAGATTGCCCAACCTTCCTTCTGAGGAGTGGCCGGTGGGTTTGAACTGCCAGCCATCTGGTTAGTAGTCAAGTGCCTTAGGCACTACGCCACCAGAGCTTCCCCATGAAGATGACAGCCTTGGAAACCCCGTGGGGCAGTTCCACTCTGTCCTCTAGGGGCACTGTGGGTAGGGATGGACTCCCGGCAATGGGTGTGGTTTGGGCTTTGCTTCTGTGAAGATTGACAGCCTTGGAGACCCCGTGGGGCAGTTCCACTCTGTCCTCTAGGGGCACTGTGGGTCAGGGTGGACTCCCTGCAGTGCGTGTGGTTTGGAACGGCTAAAAGACAGCCAGCATCTTTCCACGTGTGTCGGCCTCCTGAAGGCCCTCTTTCCGCGTGTGTCGGCCGCCTGAAGGCCCTCTTTCCACGTGTGTCGGCCGCCTGAAGGCCCTCTTTGGTGTCTGTTCAGACCCTTTGCCCTTGCTGATTGGGTTGTTTTTTTGATGTCATGCTGATGCTATTCAGTTGTTTCTTTTTTTCTCCCCTTGAACCCACAGCACTCACAGGAAACTAATGCAGGGGAGGTGGTGCATAGTTAGCAAAACACAAAACCACGTCATTGCCTCGTTTGCCTAAAAACGTGGTGATACCTTAAGAAGTACGTGTTCATGGCACAGACAAGGAAGCGATGAAGTTAGATGAGAGTCTAACCCTTTCTATCAGACTTGACGTCCTTCTTTCTAGGCCCTGAGGACAGTGGTTGAATTACCCACCCCCCTTGCTGGTTTCCTGCTTCCATTCGCCCGTTAGCCCAGAGTCCCTGTGCCTTCCTCCACTGGCTTCGGGTGTGGATGCCGCCCATGTGGCTACAACTGCTTCCCGGCCTGGGTGACGAGCATGCCATCAAAGTAGATTAATCGCCCTAGAATATTGCGTTTGATAGTAATGCAAGCACAAGTCAACCCACCAGCATCCAGCACAGGTCCTTGGGCTGTGGTACACCCTGCCCTCATCAGGCCTGTGGTCTGGGCGGAGTCTCTGGCGTCGGGCAGGGGCGGTGTTCTAAACAGCGGGTAGTGCCACCCTTGGTCTCTCCGTGCAGGCTGTTGCTGGGAGCTTGCTTGGATGGACATGATTTGTTCAACAGCATGGCTTTGTTAAGTGCCTTCAAGTTGCTCCTTCAGTTCTTCATGCTACTTACTCTTAATTTTTTAAATCTTCCTTCTTTCTTGCAAATCGGCATCATAAGCCAGCCTGCGAACCAATGAGTGCTGTGTGTCTTTATCCCCTTCACCCCAGTGAACACGTGTCTCCCCTCCAGGTAGTGGTTTACCTTCCCTTCCTCCCCAGCCCTGGTCACCATCAAAGACTATTTCTTCCTCTGTGAAACCCTTCCCTGACTTTTTCCAGTGGTTGGTCTCATACGGTGCTTGTGCTTTAGTGGCTGACTGACCTCACTCAGCAGAGCGCCCTCCAGGGTCACCCACGTTGTGAGATGTTTTGCAGACTGTCGCTGTTCTCTAGCGTTGCGTAGGTCCCGTCGTGTGTGGGGGCCAGTGTGTGGGTTCGTTCACCCGCGGCTGGGCACTCGGCTTGTCTGCGTCTCTCTGCCTTTGGGAATAGTGCTGCGACGACCACGGGTGTGCACGCCTCTGCTCCCGTCACGGCTCTGCTTTCTCTAGGACACATACCGAGTAGTGGATGCTGGATCATAAGGCATTTCTGTGTCCAGCTTTTCCAGGAAGCGCCCTGCCATTTTCCACACTGGATGCACCACAGTACAGCCCCACCAGCAGTGCAGGAGGGCTCCAGTCTCGCCGCTCCCTCGCCGCTCCCTCGCTCCCTCCCTCGCCAGCATTTGTTGTTTTCTGATTTTTTTACTTTGATGTAAGTGCTGGGGTGAGATGGTATCTCATTGTTGTTTTGATTGGTGTCATTTTAATGGCTGATAGGAGCTCTGGTGGCGCAGTGCCTCAGGCATTTGACTTGTAACCAGAAGGCTGGCGGTTCAAACATACCAGCCACTCCTCAGAAGGAAGATGGGGAATCTACTTCTGTAAAGATTTACCGCCTTGGAAACCCAGCAGGGTCGCTATGAGTTGGAATCGACTCCATGGCAGTGGGTTTTTGGTTTTGACAGTGGCTGATGATCATGGGCATTTCTCCGTGTGTTTGTTGGCTGTCTGAATGTCGTCTGTGGTGAAGTGTCTGTACATGTCCTCTGTCCGTTTTTTAATTGGATTGTTTGTCTTTTTGTGTTAAGGTGTTGACATTTTCTATGAATTTTAGAGCTCAGCCCCTGTCTGACAGTCACTGTGGGCGTGTTCACGGTCTGGGGCCCCTCTTGCTAACCTCGTGGTGGCGCCCTGGGACGCACATGAGTCTGATTTTCAGGAGGCCCCGCCCGTCCAGTCGGCCTCTGGGGCTTGCGCATTGTCAGTTACCTTCAGTAGCAGTTGGCTCTCTAAACTGTGACTTAGTGGTGGGTGATTTACGCACCTGAACGCCACCTTTTCAGGTGTACTGGCTGGTGTGAGGACTCTCCACAGATACCTAGGTCCTGCCTCGGTCACCTCAGAGCCCCGTGGTCCACAGCCCCTCCCCTGCCACACACTGGCCACCAACCACCCAGTCAGCCCATCCCCTCTGCCCCCAGCCCCCTGCCCTTGTCCCTGTGCTTCCTGGTCCCCTGGCCCCTCTGCCCCCAGCCCTCTGTCGCTTGTCGCCTGGCCCTCCACCCCCTGAGCCTCCCCTGGCCCTGGTTGTCTAGCACGGAACCTTGGGGCCTGGCATCTCCTGTCTTGGTCCCCTTCTCTTTGTCCTCCTTTTGTCCTTGTGTTAACTGCTTTACTGAGTGATAGTCACCCACTTAAAGTGCACAGTTCAGTCGTTGTTAGTGTGTTCACAGAGCTGTGTAACTGTCAGCACTAATTCCAGAACCTTCTATCACCCTATTGACCCTCACACCCTGCAATCATCCCATTTCATGGGCCCCAGAAGAAGGCTGGCGGGTGAGGTTTGGGTAGCAGCAGCCCCATCCCCCACCTCCTCTCCATCCTGGCCCCTCACAGACCTTCCCCCAGCAGAAGTGCCCACACCCTCCCAGGTCCTACACAGACCCCACACTGTATGAGTCTCCTCTGGCTGCCATGTCGACCGCTACCAGCTGCATGGCTCAGAACCATCAGGGGTTAGCTTTTGGTCCTGGGGTCCAGAGTCTGGAACGGGACCCACGGGCTGAGGGTGGGGTGTCTGGTTCCTCCTGGAGGCTCTGGGGGGAACCATCTCCAGCCTTCCCCAGCTTCTAGAGGCCCCGTGTTCCTCGGCCCGTGGCCCCTTCCTGCGTCTGCAGAGCCGGCACTGAGCACCTCCCAGTCTCCTTCTCTGCTTCCGCCCTCACATCTGAGTCTGACCCTCCCGCCTCCCTGGGATACGGCCTGTGGTCACAGCCACCCCCGGCTGGTCCACGATCACCTGCCTTTTCCGGACTCTTCACTCAGTCCATCTGCAGGGTCCCTGAACTGTGAGAGACCATGTTCCAGGTGCTGGGAATTGAAGTGTGGGGACATCCTTGGGGTCCCTAGCCTGCCAACCATGAATGTTTTTCTCATATAACTGACCTAACTACCAGTCACCGCCGAGGCAACGCCACCTTCGGGTGCGCCCGCCTGCTCCGAGCGGACCGTGCCCACAGGGTCTTCAGGCTTACCCTCCAGAGGCAGGTCACCAGGCCTTTCTTCCCAGGCATCTCTGGGCAAGCTCGCCCCCGAGCTCTGAGCTGAGCATGTTTGTCGTCTGTACCCCTGCAGACGTCCCTCAGAACCAGGGGAATCCTGGGGACCGTGTCTCTGAAAGTAAAAGCATCCATCTGGGTGTCATAAAATGTGCTGGGCACAGGAAGCAGCTCCGCTCGGCTGTGCCCACGTGTCCTCCCAGCACCTCACCCGCCTGTCTTCCAGGACTCCTCGTGCCTCGACAACATCTCCAATGCCTCCATCTTATCGTCGTCCGTGGACTCCCTGTCGGACATCGCAGACACTCCCGACTTCCTGCCAGCCGACAGCCTCAGCCAGGTGCCCACCATCTGGGACGTGAACACTGCCTCGTCCACCCAAGACAAGGTCAGTGCCTCAGTCCCACAGCGTGGCCGGCTACTCCCAGGACTCGCGCCTGTTCACTTAGCATGTGGTTACCAGCTCAGGGTCATCAGATTTGCTGCATAGCATAGGGATCAGGCCCAGGACCTCACGAAGCACGCTGCCCGTCGGTGCAGGGAGCAGACCCGACCCCCACGGCCCCTCCAGCCCACGGTGTATACTCCTGCCTCAGTGGGCTGCAAGCCAGGGAAGGCCCAGCAGCGAGGAAGGAAAGGTGTCTCCACGGGAAACAGTAGGTGCCATGGCCTCCGTGGGCTCTAAGGGGTGGCGGCTGGGGGGCTTGGCCAGGCACGAGGCGGTGAGGTTGGCAGAATCAAGTCCCAGGTGGAGCGGGGAGTCAGCCTTCATCCTCCGCACGGTGAGAGGCCTGTGAGCAGCTTCCATGGTACATGGGACTCCTGGGAGTAAGCTTCTCTGGGGGTTGGGGGCGTGGGAGGGGTACAGGCCAGCGGCTGGGCAGGAGCCCCATCCGCAACCAGACCTGTCTCAGGTCCCTGCCCGGAGAGGCACTCCTCAACTCTGGGAGCCAGGTGCAGCCTAGGAACTGGCATGCGCCCCCGTCCGCTTTCCCGTCCCCCCACCACCACCCGCAACACCGCCAGCTGCCTGCTGCCCTGACCACATGGGTGGGGGTCCCAGCACTGTCGGCCCCACAAAGAAGGGCTGTGACCTGGGCAGCAGCCAGGTGGGCGGGAGGGTGCCCCCCCCTCCCCCCCGTGGCTCACACCCTGGATCGTCCATCCCCATAGTCCCTGCAGGCAGTGAGGGTGGTGAGGGCCTCCAGCTGGGCCCCCACCCCTGCCTGTGGGAACCGTGACTCAGCCTTCTGGGAACAGCAGCTGTTAGTTCTCTATGTGTGGTTTTTATCACTTGAGGAAAGAGCTGAGGCGGAGTGTGGCCTCGCCTTCCTCTGTCTCAGCCCACTGGTTCTCACTGTAAACTCCGCCCAGTCTCTGCACACAGCAGGGGAGGGGCTGTGCCACACTGCCTGGCCCAGCCCTCCTGGAAGTGTTGTGTGCACTCGGGCTTGGGATGGGCCTGGCCCTGCCGTCCTTCCCTGGGCCTCAGGCCAAGGGTCCACATGGGGAGTTCTGGGGACCACAAGTCACCACCCCGTCCTGTGTATTTTTCTTGTTTATAAGTTTTTTCACAGTGATTTTTTAAGTTGTAGTAAAATACATATAACCTGAAATTTACCATTTGAACTTTTTTAAAGTACCATTTAAGCTTAAGCTCTGGTGGCACATCAGTTAAATGCTTGGCTGCTAATTAAAAGGTCAGCAGTTCAAACCCACCAATGGCTCTGTGGGAGAAAGACCTGGTCATCAGCTCCTGTCGAAATTACAGCCTTAGGAGCGCAATAGGGCAGTCCTCCTCTGTCGCCCGGGTCACTGGGCGTTGGAGCCACCACCAACGACACAGCGCCCCCAGCGACCTTAATCGCAGTCACCATGCTGTGCCATTGTCACTGTTGCTCGCTTCCAGAGCCTTTCTGTATGATTATTTATTAAGAGTGAGGAAGTTCTGGAATGGCCCAGACCCTGCTCTGGGCTCTGGCGGGTGGTACCAGCCCCACTGCTATGGTCAGTCCAGTGACTTGGTGGCGGTCCCCAGCCCATCCACAGCTCTCGAGCCCTGTCGCTTTGGAGACCCCACTGAGGGGCTCACTGTGAGCTGTGCTGCACCCTGTGGGACTCATGGGTAGTTCCCTAGATCCAGGCTGGGACTTGGTTATCCACTCTGGTCACCCATGCAGTGGGGCCACCCACAGAGGCACCTTATGGCCCTCGGGGACCTGTGGAGCCAGCCTGTCCCTTGCACCCCAAGTGTGCTATGGGTCAGGGCCCGTTGCATGTCCTTGTGCTGACGGCCGCTGCCCCCAGCCCTCACAGCCACCTCCGCGGTCCCCACACAGCCAGGCCACACAGGGGCCCCCACGTGCCTGAGCACTGACACCATGCAGCTGGCCTTTGCCCTTGAGCGCTCCCAGTGGAGCCTGGCTCACCATGGTTTCCAACAAGCGTGCCGTGGACCCCTTTCCTAGAAGCACATGAGGGGGCTCCTGTAAGAGCACAGTAGGTCTCCCACTAGTACATGCTGGGCCTCCGGAAAACATGCAGCATGTCTCCCGTAAGTGCACAGTGGGTCCCCTTGAGGTCCAGTGGGTGTCCTGCCTGTGCGGAGCGCGGCTTCGAGAAGCACAAAGTGGCTTTCCCAGTGGCACACAGTGGGGCTCCACCCCCAGGCTGGATGGCAGTTCTCTGCCGGCTTCTGCTGGGTCCAGAGAGGGACCTTGTTCACCCATGAGAACTAGCAGCTAAGCCCCTTCCCCAAGGCCAGCCCGAGCTGGTGGGCGTGGGGAGGTAGGGTGTTGGCTGGGAGGAGACAGCACACGCCTCACGTGGATGGTGCCTGCCAGGTGCCTGGGGAGAAGCTGTGTCCTCTCAGTCAGGAGGCAGCCATGTGGGGCCGGGACATGAGGAAGGGGGAGGGCTGGCCTGAGCTGGCTGGGGGCTCCTTGGGCGCGTCTTCCCCAGCCTTGAAGGCTGATTTCTGACATCCCATCCCAGCTCTTCCTGCCTAGCGGGCCATTCCCAGGCCTCGAAGACCCTGTGTCCTCCCTCCCTGCCACCCCACTTCTCATCAGCTACCAGGTGAGTCCTAGCCCGCCCTGCCAGCCCTCCCACATAGGGGTTTCGGGATCTTTACGCATGTAGAAGGGATGTGGGAACAAGTGGTGGGAGGCACCGTGCGGGGCAGGCAGTGCAGCAGCTGTGGTGTTGGGACCCACCCCCAGTGCGGGGGCTGGCACCCCCTCACGTGGCCCCTGCAGTCACAGAGCCAGCCAGAGGAAGAGGACGAGGCTGAGGAGGAGGAAGCCGAAGAGCTGGGCCACACGGAAACCTATGCCGACTACGTGCCCTCCAAGTGTGAGTGTGAGGCCGAGGGCACTGGTCCCGGGGAGGGTGGATGACGCACAGAGAGGCTGGTTTAGTTGGAATTCCAGTAATTATTCTGCGTGCTGCTTGCACAAGGCCAGAAACAGAGTAACGCCCTCCCCAGCCCTGAACCCCTATGCCACCCACTTCAAGAAGCACAGCATCCCCCCCGGGGCGTCCTTCCCGCCCTGAGCAGTGCCCGGGACACCTGGAACAGTGTGGCTGCTCAGGCATGGGGAGCCCTGACCTCAAGACCCCGCCCCTGCCCTACAGCCAAGATTGGAAAGCACCATCCGGACCGCGTGGTGGAGACCAGCACCCTGTCGAGTGTGCCACCACCCGACGTCACCTACACACTGTCCCTGCCTGCCTCAGCCTTGGACAATGGGGCGCTGTCCGCCCTGCAGCTGGAGGCCATCACCTACGCCTGCCAGGTGAGTGCTCTTAGGGTCCCGGTGTCATGGGGGCACCCCCGACACCCAACCCTCCCAGCAGGGTCAGCCTTCCTGGGCCCTGACTATCTCCCCACCCCACAGCAACATGAGGTCCTGCTCCCCAGTGGTCAGCGGGCCGGCTTCCTCATCGGGGACGGGGCTGGCGTGGGCAAGGGCCGCACAGTGGCCGGTATCATCTTTGAGAACTACCTGAGAGGCAGGAAGAAGTCGCTGTGGTGAGTGCCCACCCATGCTGGGGGACCTGGGCTGGCGTGCAGGGGACGGGGTGCTGGGATGTCCCTGACACCTGCCCCCTGCTCAGGTTCAGTGTCTCCAATGATCTGAAGTACGATGCAGAGCGCGACCTGCGGGACATTGAGGCCCCTGGCATTGCCGTGCACGCGCTGAGCAAGGTGGGGGCGCTGTGGGACCCCAGCTCACCTTGCTGCTCTTCTGCCCTTCCCTGTGCTTCCCTGTCACCCTCCCCTCCTTGTTTCTGAAGTCATATCTTCCAGCGGGCATGGTGCAGCAGCTGGTCTCGGCTATCACCGGCATCTGGGAGGGCCAGGATGGGTGGCTGGTGGTGGCAGTGGCCCGGGGGCTGCAGGCCAGGCTTGTGCTGTTTCTTTTGTTGAGCACTGTGGCCTTCCCTGTTGCCACCACCGTGAGGCTCTGCTGCCCTCTGCCCACTCCCCTTCCTGTCATGGGTAAGGGTCTTTGTGCCCTGTGCGAGCTGAGCCCAAAGCCCACCTGTGATGGTAGACTCCTTGGAGCATGTCTCTTGGCCTCTGTGTAATGGGAGGGGACCGCAGTGGTCCAAAGGCCAAGCTGCCTCAGCCCCAGGTGGCATTTTCACAAATGGGGAAACGGGCTCAGAGGGGTGCAGAGGCACCCACACATGTCCGTGCCCATTCCCTCCCCTAGATCAAGTATGGCGACAACACTACCTCAGAGGGCGTCCTCTTCGCCACCTACTCTGCGCTCATCGGGGAGAGCCAGGCTGGCGGGCAGCACCGCACGCGCATCCGCCAGATCCTCGAGTGGTGTGGGCCCGCCTTCGACGGCGTGGTATCCTTGTCAGGGCGGGCACCACTCCTTACTGAGCACCTCCACACCCCGGGCTCCGGCCGGCCTCCTGGCTCCGGGCTGCTCAGGTGACCAGACTCGGGCACGGGGTTTGTGTGGCGCCTCAAGGTGGGGAAGTGCTGCCTGGCAGGGGACAGTGAGGGCGGGGAGGGATGCTGCCCTGCTTTCCTCTCCCTCCCAGGTGCAGTGGTTTGAGGGTGTGGGCTGGGGGGTTCTCCTATCACGGCAGGCGCAGTGCAGACAGCACCCAAGAAACACCCCACTGGCCAAGCCCAGCATGAGGTGGCCCCAAGCATGCTGTGTTGGTGACAGGCCTGAAGGCCCTGCCTGGCTGCCTCGGCCCGGCCCCTCTTCACTGACACAGGGGCCCCGGGCAGGCCTCTTGCCGCTCCACCTCGCCCCTCCCCTTCCGGGCCTGGGTTTCAGTATTTCTGTGGAGCGTGGAAGGCCCGGGAAACTAGAAGGCGGGCACGGCCACGGCCTCATGGTAGCTACGTTTTCTAGTGTTTTGATTCCTTTTTCCCTGTTTTTCGTAAACTCATACCACAGTTCCGGTGCCCGCTCAGCATGTTCCCGCAGTTGTCCGGTGCATTGCTCGCGTCCCTCACGGTGTGTGGGTGTTCCTATGACGCCCGCGGTGTCCACTCTGCCTCAGTCACTGGGTCCTTTCTCCTTCGCTCACAGCAGCACCCCCGGTGGGCGTGCCCCGCTGGCCCCTTCCTAGGTGTTTGTACACTGACTCCCATGGAGAAGCCTCACCTTGGGTCTCATACGTAAAGGAGATCCCATGGTGGTGTAACTGTTGGCTGTCGTTGAGGTGGGCACTGACTCATGGTGACCCCAGGCACACGGAACGAAATGCTGCCTGGGTCTGTGCCATGCCCAGGCCAGCTGCTGCCTAGACCGCTGGGAATCAGAGGGTTTGCACTCACTGGAAGTCGGTCCCCCGGCCTTCCTGACTGCTCTCTGCCAGTCTGCGAGCTCTGCTGAAACCTGGGGAGCATCACAGCCACACCCAGCCTCCACGAGACACAGCTGGGGCTGCTCAGAGGGCACACTGGCTAGGAATCGAGCCTGGTCCAGAAAGGTCATGGAAGCCACGGCCTCCAGCCTCCTCCAGCTTCACTGGGACACAACGTGACCAGCAGCAGCCCGGGGCTGGTTCCTGTGAGGGGAAGGTCAGATATGCCTCCACCCTACAAACTCCTTACCAATTCCGACACCAGCCGGCCCTCCCACGGCATCTCCGCTTCTCTGCTGGGCTCCGAATCCATTGTGGTGGCCACACAGAACTCACAGGCAGTACTCACGATTACGGGGCTTATTAGGGAAGCAACAGGCTACACGCACTACACCACCACTCGTTGGTCAGCGTGCTGCACTGTGGTGGCGTGCATGTTGCTGGGAGGCTGGAGGCTATGCCACCAGCATTTCAAATGCCAACAGGGTCACCCCTGGTAGACAGGTTTCAGCGGAGCTTCCAGACTAAGACAGACTCGGAAGAAGGAAGGGGCCATCCTCTTCTCAAAGAATTGGCCACTGAAAACCAGCAAAATCTTACTGAAGAAAATTCAAAAATGGTTGTAGCAGTATATTGACAGAGAACTTCCAGAAATGCAGGCTGGATTCAGAAGAGGACACGGAATGGAAGATGTCATTGCTGATGTCACATGGATCTTGGCTCCAAGCCAAGAATACCAGAAAGATGTTTATTTGTGTTTTATTAACTATGTGAAAGCATTTGATTGTGTGGATCATAACAAATTGTGGATAACATTGAGAAGAATGGGAATTCCAGAACACTTAATTGTGCTCATGAGGAACCTGTACACAGACCAGGAGGCTGTTGTTCGAACGGAACAAGGCGACACTACATGGTTTAAAATCAAGAATGGAGTGTGTCAGGATTGTATCCTTTCACCATACTTACTAATCTGTATGCTGAGCAAGTAATCTGAGAAGCTGGACTGTATGAAGAAGAACATGGCATCAAGATAGGAGTAAGACTCATTAACAACCCGCGATACGCGGATGACACAGCTTTACTTACTGAAAGTGAGGATGACTTGAAGCACTTACTGATGAAGATTGAAGAATACAGTCTGCAGTATGGATTACATCTCAATATAAAGAAAACAAAAATCCTCACAACTGGACCTATAAGCAGCATCACAGTAAATGGGGAAAAGGTTGAAGTTGTCAAAGACTTCGTATTACTTAGTTCTACAGTCAACACCAATGAAAGCAGTAGTCAGGATATCAGATGACATATGTTGTTGTTGTTACGTGCCATCGAGTCAGACCTGACTCATAGTGACCCCTCCTTGGGTTTCTGAGGCAGTATCACTATGGAAGTAGATTGCCCCATCTTCCTTCCAAGGAGTGGCTGATGGGTTTGAACCGCCAGCCTTCTGGTTAGCAATCAAGTGCCTTAGGCACTATGCTACCAGAGCTCCCTCAGACGACATATAGCACCGGGCAAATCAACTGCAAAAGACCTCTTTCAGATGCTGAAGAACAAAGATGTCTCTTTGAAGACTAAGGTGCGCCTGACACAAGCCATGTGTTCTGGTTACCTCTGTGCCACTCTGGCAGGAATACACCACGAGTAGGACAGCTTTAACAAACAGGAGTTTATTCTCTTACAGTTTGGAGGGCTTAAGTCTGAGTTCAAAGTGCCAGCCTCTAGGGGCTGGGTGAAAGCCCCTCAACCTTGGCTTCAGCTCTGCCTTCTGCTCCTCACTCACTGGAGCTAGAAGCTTTTCTTCACTCAGACAACTGCTGGCTGCTGAGACTGACAAGCCCAAGGGTGACAAGTAAAAAGGCCCAGTCCCTATGTTACCAAACTACATGACAGGCCATTAATTCAAGTCCATTGAAAGTCCCAAGGTCATCAGAGCATGGCAGGCTGCTAAACAATGACACAGCTACATGCAGAGTTCAAGCATGCCAGCTAGAGACTATTCTCCAAGACTTCTCCTTATATACGGGAAGCAGACCCACATCCCTAAGGCAGCTACTCAGCTGCTTGTGGTAGATCCCACCATGGAGTTGATTGCCAGTCTCATCATAGGGAATACTACATCCAGCTCACCAGCTGCTCAACCAGGCCCAGCCAAGTTGGCACACAAACTACCACATCATGATATTTCCAATCGCCTCATATGCATGTGGGAGCTGGACAGTGAATAAGGAAGACTGAAGAAGAGTCGATGCTTTTGAGTTGTGGTTCTGGCGAAGAATGCTGAAAGTACGATGGACTGCCAGAAGAACTAACAGATCTGTCCTGGAGGAAGTGCAGCCGGAATGCTCCTTGGAAGCAAGAATGGCCAGACTTTATCACCTACTTTGGTCATGTCAGAAGAGACCATTCCCTGGAGAAGGATGTCATACTTGGTAAAGTGGAGGGTCAATGAAAAAGGGGAAGGCCCTCAACAAGATAGACTCACACAGTGGCTGCAACGATGGGCTCAGGTACAGCCAGGAGCTGGCACAGGACCGGGCAGGGTTTCATTCTGCTGTGCATGGGTTCGCTATGAGTCAGAGACAACTCGACAGCACGTAACAACAACAACAACTGAAAACCTTATGAACAGCAGTGAAACACTGTCAGATACAGTGCTGGAAGATGAGCCCCTCAAGTCAGAAGGCCCTCAAAGCATGAATGGGGAAGAGCTGCCTCCTCCAGGTAAGGTCCACCTTAATGATGTGGACGGAGCAAAGCTTTCAGGACCTCCATGTGCTGACGGGGCATGACTCAAAAGGGGAAGCAACAGCTGCAAACATCCATTATAATCAGAATGTGGAATGTACAAAGTATGAATCTAGGAAATTGGAAGTTGTCAGAAATGAAATGGAACACATAAAGATCTATATCCTAGGCATTAGTGAGCTGAAATAGACTGGAATTGGCCATTTTTAATCAATCACATGATCTACTATGCCAGGAATGACAAATTGAAGAGGAATGGTGTGTCATTTACATCACAAAGAATGTTTCAAGATCTGTCCTGAAGTACAGTGCTGTCAGAGATATGATAATATCCATATGCCTACAAGAAAGACCAGTTAATACTATTATTCAAATTTATGCACCAACCACCAAAGCCAAAGATGAGGAAATTGAAGATCTCTCTGGTAGCATAGTGTCTAAGGCACTTGACTGCTCACCAGAAGGCTGGCGGTTCAAACCCACCAGCCACTCCTCGGAAGGAAGGTTGGGCAATCCTACTTCCATAGTGATACTGCCTCGGAAACCCAAGGAGGGGTCGCTATGAGTCGGGCCGACTCGACGGCAAACAACAACAACATCAACTTCTGCAGTCTGAAATTGACTAAACATGCGATCAAGATGTGTTGATTATCACTGGTGATTGGAATGCAAAAGTTGGAAACAAAGAAGCAGTATTAGTAGTTGGAAGATAGGGCCTTTGAGATAGAAATGACTCCAGAGATCACTTGGTATACTTCTGCAAGACGAATAACTTATTCATTGCAAATATCTTTTCTCAACAACATAAACAGTGATTGTACATGTGGACCTCACCAGATGGAATACACAGGAATCAGATTGACTACATCTGTGGAAAGAGGCAGTGGAAAAGCTTAATATCATCAGTCAAAACAAGGCCAGGAGGAAACTGCACACCATCAACTGCTCATATGCAAGTTCACAGTGAAGCTGAAGAAAATTAAGTCCATGAGATCCAAAATATGACTTTAATGATATCCCGCCTGAATTTAGAGACCATTTGAAGAATAGATTTAACTCACTGAACAGCATGACCAAAGATCAGACGAATTGTAGGATGACATCAGAAACATCATCCATGAAGAAAGCAAAAGATCATTAATAAGACAAAAAAGGAAGAAAAGACCAAAACGGATGTCAGAAGGGATTCTGACACTTGCTCTTGAATGAAGAGTAGCTAAAGTGAATGATGAAATTAAAGAGGTAAACCAAAGATTTCAAAGGGCAGCTCCAGAAGACAAAGTACTGTAATGAAGTGTGCAAAGACTTGGAGTTAGAAAACCAAAAGGGACGGACACCCTTCGCATTTCTGAAGCTGAAAGAGCTGAAGAGGAAATTCAAGCATCAAGTTGCAATATTAAAGGATTCTATGGGCAAAATATTGACTGATGCAGAAAGCATCAGAAGAAGATGGAAGGAGTGCACAGAGTCACCGCCCCAGGAATATTAGTCAGCACTCAGTCATTTCACGAAGGAGCATATGGTCAAGAAGCAGTGGTATTGAAGGAGGAGGTCGAAGCAAATGGCAAAAAAAAACAAGGCCCCAGGAATCAACGGAATACCCATTGAGATGTTTCAACAAATGGATGCAGTGCTGGAGGCACTTACTTATTCATGTGAAGAAATATGGAAATCAGCTACCTGGCCAACGACTGGAAGAGATCCATACTTGTGCCCCTTCCGTAGAAAAGTGATCCAGCAGAATGTGGAAATTATCAAACGGTAGCATTAATATCACATGCAAGTAAAATTTTGCTGAAGATAATTCAAAAACAGTTACAAGCAGTATATTGACAGAGAACTTCCAGAAATTCAAGCTGGATTCAGAAGAGGATGTGGAACAAGGGATATCATTGCTGATGTCAGATGGATCTTGGCTGAAAGCAGAGAATACCAGAAGGATGTTTACTTGTGTTTTATTGACTATGCAAAGACATTTGACTGTATGGATCATAACAAATTATGGGTAACTTTGCAAAGAATGGGAATTCCAGAACATTTCATTGTGCTCATGCAGAACCTGTACATAGACCAAGAGGCTGTCATTTGAACAGAACAAGGGGATACTGCATGGTTTAAAATCACATAGGGTGAGCGTCAGGGTTGTATCCTTTTACCATACTTACTCAATATATATGCTGAGCAAATAATCCAAGAACCGGAACTAAATGAAGAAGAATGTGGCATCGGGATTGGAGACTGCAATATGCAGGTGGCACAACCACACAGCCTTGCTGGCTGAAAATGAGGATGACTTGAAGCACCTGCTGATGAAGATCAAAGACTACAGTCTGCAATACAGATGACACTTTGATATAAAACAAAAATCCTCACAACTGGACCAATAAGCAACATCATGATAAATGGAGAAAAGTCTGAAGTTGTCAAAGATTTCATTGTACTGAGATCCACGATCAACACCCATGGAAGCAACAGTCAAGAAATCAGACATCTGCAGGGGACATCAAGCTCAACTGGCATAACATCCTACACAAAAATGCTCCACAGCCTACTGTGGCGAGTAGTGACTGGGATCTGAAAAGCTTGCAAGCAGCCATCTAGATGGAACAATGGGTCTCTCCTCATCCAGAGCAAAGAAGAATGAAGAAAACCAAAGACTCATGGAAACAGTCCAAGGCACTGGTGCACCATGCGGTCCTCAGCCTATGTGACTATGAGACCAGAAGAACTAGATGTGCCTGGCTACCACTGTCAACCACTCGGAGGGGGATCTGTGTAAGAGATCCTGAATAGAGTGGGAGAACAATGTGGAACAAAACTCAAAATTATTAAAAAAAAAAAAAAAAGCCAGATATGCTGGTCTGATAGAGCCTGGAGGAACCCCTGAGACTATGGCCTCTAGCTGCCCTTCAGGTCTGGAATTGAACCCACTCCTGTGGCTTCCAGCCAAACAAAAGACAGGCATATGAGTTGAACATGTACCTGAGGTAGATACACTCCTTGGAGAGATCAATCATGGGAGAACGGCTGTGTGTGCACAGGGAGATGTCTGGGGGTGGGGGCAGGAGCTCACGGCAGGGAAGGACATAGTGAAGAGGGGAGGAAGTGGGAAGAGAGCTGTTGCATTGTGAGAGATTGCAGTTGATGGCATTAGACAAAGTGTATGTGAACTGTATGGAAAATGAATTTGCTCTGTAAACTTTCACCCAAATCACAATAAAAAAAAAAATCAGACATCATATTGCATCATATTGGGCCAGTCTGCTGCAAGGGACCTCTTTAAAGTATTAAAGAGCAAAGATGTGTCTTTGGAAACTAAGGTACACCTGACCCAAACCATGGTGTTTTCAGCAGCATCGTATGCATGTGAGAGCTGGACAGTGATCAAGGAAGACCGAAGAAGAGCTGATGCTTTTGAGTTGTGGTGCTGGTGAAGAATGCTGAGTACCGTGGACTGCTAAAAGAACTAACAGGTCTGTCCTGGAGGAAGTGCAGCCGGAATGTTCCTTGGAAGCAAGAATGGCCAGACTTCGTCTCACCTCCTTAGGTCATGTGGGCAGAAGGGACCAGTCCCTGAAGAAGGCTGTCATACTTGGTAAAGTGGAGGGTCAGCAAAAGGGAAGGCCCTGAACAAGATGGATTGACACATGGCTGTAGCGATGGGCTCACACATAGCAAGGACTGTGAGGCTGGCCCAGGACCGGGCAGGGTTTCGTTCTGTTTGTGGTACGTGGGGTCGGTATGAATCAGAGTCAACTCCATGGCACTTCACAACAGGAGCAGGTTACAGTTCAGGATCAGGAAGGCTCAGGATACAGTTCTCCGGTCAGAACAGCCTGCCCTCAGCCATGCCCACAGGCATGCCTGTCTTTGGCCGTCAACCTCTTGGCTTGGCCTCTGCCAAGCTTGGGAAGTATTTGTCACAGAGCTCTTTTAGCTCTGCTGATACGTGTACCCCACTCCATCAGCAGTCCTTCTGCCCAAAGTCACTCAGCTTTCTTGCTCCTTGGGCCTGCAAGCCCACCACTGTCTCCTGCTGGTCTCACAGCTCTGCTGCCATTTCCCTGTGCAGGGGTCTCAGGTCCAAAGGACTCCAGCTTGCTTCTGTGTTGATGGCAATGAGACACCCCCTTTGCCACCTCTGTTGATAGCTCATTTTAAGCCTAGTGGAGTGACAAAACTGACCAGCCCTCACATTAGGGGATCCATACATGTTATGTGCATAATCCCACCTTCACAAGGATTCCATGTACCTTATTTTTGTTATTAGCAAGCTGGCCAATCCCCTTGGTGGGCCACAAGCACGTCATATTTGCATAGTCCCACCCAGTCGGTGGAAGTCAGAGAGACAGTGGTAGTAATTCACCGCCCCACCCCAGGTCTCCCACGTGGAAGCCAGCCGACCTGCTTCCATCCGTGAAGCCAAGAAAGCCCTGCGAGCAGGTGTGTGCTGATGTGCGCACACGGACGGGGCTGCCGGGAGTCGGAGCTGGTGCACTGCCAAGTGGTCGTTTTCCCCTCACTTCTTTAAACGGTTTCTTCAAGCCTTTATTTTATTCTTAGTGAGATCATTGCAGCACATGTAGTTGTAAGAAAGAACTTAGAGGGCTCAGTCCCAGGTGCCCGTCGTCCCGTTCCCCTCGATGGTAACGCCTGACAAGCAGTAGAACCATGTCACCGCCAGGACGTGGACAAGGCTGTGCCCCACTCGCCCCACTCAGATGCCTGTTGTCCCGTGCTGTCAGCACCGTCTCTGAAGTTTGAATGAGACCATGATGCCACATTCATGCACCTGTTGTGTGCTTAGGCCCTAGGATCTCTTTCCTGTCCACCCTGGGCCTGGCACAGCCCAAGAACATGGTCCCTTCACCAGATTTCTCCCATGAGAAATGTTGCCAGAGTCCCAGGTGAGATGAGACCTTGGGCCTCTGCTCTTCCCCAAAAGGCTTCAGTGGTCGAGGGCCTAGGTCCGTGGAGCTGCCTGTGGTCCTGGGATAGTCCTTAACTCACAACCACCCAGATTATATTTGATGAGTGCCACAAAGCCAAAAACGCCAGCTCCACCAAGATGGGCAAGGCCGTCCTGGACCTGCAGAACAAGCTGCCCCTGGCCAGGGTCGTCTACGCCAGTGCCACAGGTGAGGGAGGCCGGCTGCAGGAGGAGGGTGCAGTGGGGAGTGGGCAGGCAGGCGGCCGGCAGAACAGACGTGCTGCGTTGGCACAGCCATAGGGGAGGTGTGGTTTTTGCCATGCGGCTGCCAGGCTGGTCTGCACCACAGCTGTCCGCAGGCTCATGCTCCCCGGGCCAACAGTAACTTCCACAGCGCCCCACCAGGAACCTCCTTTCCGCTAACCACAGCAGTGATCCTGGCCTCTCGGCGCCCCCTGGCTGTGGGGACTTGGCTGAGCCCATGAGGCCGCCGTACAGGGCCCTCGCTTAGGTGGTTCTGGCGTGGTGAAGCCCCAACCTGCCCTCCATGCTGAGCTGGAGGAGCTGATGGCCCCCTCCTGCACCTGCCACCCAGGTGCCTCTGAGCCACGGAACATGATCTACATGAGTCGCCTGGGCATCTGGGGGGAAGGCACACCCTTCCGCACCTTCGAGGAGTTCCTGCACGCCATTGAGAAGAGGTGAGCACCCGGCCTGAGATGCCTTCCCAGCTTCCCGCTCTGCACCACATGCCCCACGTGGCAGCCAGAGGGACCTTCAAACGCGAGCTGCTGGCTTTCTCTGCCGAGTGCTGCTCTCAGGAAAGACCCTCCCCCTGACCGTGCCCTCTGTGGCCCTCCCTGCCTCCTGCTGCAGCCCCTCCTTGGCCTGCCTGATCAGCTTCTCTCTTCCCCCAGCCCACCAGGCTCTTGCAGCCACAGTGCCTTTGTGTGGGCTGCCTCGTCACCACTGAGGCCCTTTCTCCCAGTGTGGCTCCCAGCCCCAGTGTCAGCTCTACCCCCAGGGGGACCCAGTGCAGGCACTCAGGGGCTCTGCCATCTGTCCACAGAGGTGTGGGCGCCATGGAGATTGTGGCCATGGACATGAAGGTCAGTGGGATGTACATCGCACGCCAGCTCAGCTTCTCTGGAGTCACCTTCCGCATCGAGGAGATCCCACTGGCCCCAGCCTTTGAGCGCATCTACAACCGTGCAGCTCTGCTGGTGAGCGTGGTAGGGCCTCTGCCACATGGAGGCAGCGTGCGAGGTGCTGGCTCCAAGGTGCTCGCGGCGCTATGGCTGCCAGTCGGGAGAAGGACGCATCCCCCCGTCCCTCCCCATCCGCCTGCATAAACAGAGCGGGTCCCGCCCTCAGCCTCATGAGACCTGTGCCCCCGGCTTGCAGCTGAGCGCCATCCGTTCTCAACGCCCATGGTGCTGTGTGCAGTGTGTCCTGTCTCCTGGCTCTGACCAGCCCCTGTGCTGATTACAGGCACATTCACATGGCTGCGAGCCCTTCAGCATCGGGCAGGCCCATGATTGGAGTGATTACTTTAGCTCAGACTAAAGCAGGATCTGCCCCCGGCACTGCTGGCATTTGAGGCCAGACCCTTCTCTGGGGTGGGACGTCCTGTTTACTGCAGGGTGTTGAGCAGCCTCCACCCACTCAAAGCAAGTAGCATTCTCCCCCTCCAAGTTGTGACAACCACAAACGTTGTCAGACATTACCAAGTGTCCCCTGGGGGCAGAATCGCCCTAGATGAGGACCCCTGGATTAGGGGATTCCTCTGACCCCCAAGAGACCCCGTGTCCCATAATCTTCTGACTTGCTGACGTCCTAGGATGCTGCCCACGTTGAAATCCACACAGTGAGTGGGGAGGAGACAGGACAGGAGTTACAGGAGCTGAGGGTCCCCCAGCTTTACACTGTCTGACCCATCAGGAATGTAATGTGTGTGACTGTAGGTTCAAACAGACCCGAGTATAGCCGGGTGGGAGGGTGGGGGGTCCAAGGTGGGGGAGGCAGACCTGGTACCCGCGGCACTCAGCTCCGCTGTCCTTGCAGTGGGCCGAGGCCCTAGGCGTGTTCCAGCAGGCAGCCGACTGGATTGGCCTGGAGTCTCGCAAGTCTCTGTGGGGCCAGTTCTGGTCGGCCCACCAGCGCTTCTTCAAGTACTTGTGCATCGCCGCCAAGGTGCGCCGCCTGGTGGAGCTGGCGCGCGAGGAGCTCGCCCGCGACAAGGTGAGGGGGCCCGCTGGCCCTGGCGGAGGCGAAGAGAGTGGGGTGCTGGCCCTGGAAGAGGAGGGTTAACAGTGGGGAGGGGGCTGGTCCAGGACCAGGTGTGGGGAGGCCCAGGAAGGCAGGCTGGGGGTGGAGAGGAG